TAATTTGTCTTACCTGATTTAATTTCTTTTTTCTTTTAAAGAAAGTGAGAGAAAACAATAAAATATTTTATATGTACCTATATACTTCCCATTTCTTGTCTTCTGTCTTTTCTGTAGATATAAGTTTTCCTTTAGTGAATTTCTTTTTTTTTTTTTTTAATTTTTTTTAAATTTTTTATTGTTGGCTGTTCAAAACATTACATAGTTCTTGATATATCATATTTCACAATTTGATTCAAGTGGGTTATGAGCTCCCATTTTTACCCCATATACCGATTGCAGAATCATATCAGTTACACATCCATTGATTTACATATTGCCATACTAGTGTCTGTTGTATTCTGCTGCCTTTCCTATCCTCTACTATCCCCCCTCCCCTCCCCTCCCCTTAGTGAATTTCTTTTCAAAGAACTTCCTTTAACATTTCTTATAGTGTGGGGCTGCTCATGACAAATTCTGTTTTCTTTGGTCTGAAAATGGCTTTATTTCCTCTTCATTTTTACTGGATATTTTTGCTGTATGTAGAATTCTGGATGGTTTGCCATTTTTAAAAAATATTTTTAAACTTTTTTTTTTTTTAGTTGTAGATGGACACAATATTTTTATTTTATTTATTTTTATGTGGTGCTGAGCCTCATGCATGTGAGACAGATGCTCTACCACGGAGCTACAACCCCAGCCCTGATGGCTTACCATTTTAAGATGGTATTTATTCCATTATCTTTCTCCCTCTTGGTTTCTGATGAAAATTCAGGTATCATTTATGTGATAATTATTAATGTGTTCTTTTTATTAGCTGCTTTTAATATTTTTATATTTTTAAAATCAGTTTTATGTGATCTGTGTTACTTTCTTTATGTTTATTGGGATTCATTGAGTTTCTTATATTTAAGTTATACACCAAATTTGGGAAGCATTAGACCATTAATTTTTCAAATTCGTTTCTAACTCCATTATAGCTCCTGTTTATTTCTTGGAGTTCAATTGTATATATGTTATATTACTTGGTATTATCCTGTAGGTTACTCAAGTTCTGTTTATCTTTCACCTCATTTTCCCTCTATTCTTAATATTAGGTAATTTATAGTAATCTGTCTTCATGTTCACTGACCTTTTTTCTTCCCTCTCCAATCTTCTATAAGTACCATTTGGTTGTTTTTTTTTTTAAAATTATGAATATTATTCTAGAGGATTCACTGGATTCTTTTTATAGCTTCTATTTCTATGATGAGATTCTTCAGCTTTTTATTCATTATGACTGTTTTCCTCTAAGTCTTTGAACATATTGATACATATAGTAAATTTATTGTTTGCTAATTGCAACATCTATGTCATGTTCATTTATTTTCTATTTATTAATTATTCTCTGGACCAAGGCCCACATTTTCTTATTTTTTGCATTCTAATAAATTTTATTCTATTCTTGGCTTTAAATATGATATTTATAGCTAGCCTGCATTATGCCTTTTTCCTTTTTGAAATAAAATTTCTATTTGGGGATAATTTCAGACTTACAGAAATGTTTCAAATATATTACAGAGCATTCCTTTGTACTCTTTATGCCATATTTCTTGATGTTAACATCTTAAATAATCACTGCACTGTCAAAAGTAAAAAATTAACATTGTTACATTTTTATACCTAAATTCCAGACCTCATTTGAATGTCACTAGTTTTCCACTAATGTCCTTTTTCCATTATAGGATCCAATCCAGGATACCATATTGCATTTATTTATCTTGTTACTCATTCTTCACTGTTCTATGACAGTTTATCAGTGTTTTCTCATTTTTCATTATCTTGATATAGTTGATAAGTAATGGGCATGTATTTAATAGAATCCTCCTCAATTTAGAGTTATTTCATTTTTTTCTTGATATTTCACTAGGGTTATTGGTTTTGGGGAAAATACCTAATAACTAGGTATTCTCATTGTGTCATATTTGGGGGTATATGATATCACCAAGATTCATCATTGGTGGTTCAGATGTTCATGTGGTTCGGGTACTATTTACCAGGTTTCTCCTCAGTAGAGTCACTCTTTGCCTCTACCTGTTTTGCTCTGTGGAAGCAGGTATTTAAGTCTTGGCCACACTCAAAAGGAGGGGAATAATATTCTACATACTGAAGGGATAGTATCTACATATATTATTTGAGATCTTTGGTAAGAAAAATTTATTACTTCTTCCTCATTTATTAAATCAATATGGACTCACAGTCTTTTTTTCTTTGAGTTATAATTCAATATGAATTATTATTTTGTGATTCAAATTGTTCTATTGGGAATTTTTTTGGGTTAGTTATATGTCCTGATATGCCTTCAATTAAAAAAAAAAAACTTTCTTATTTTCTAATACTAAAAGACTTTAAGAGGCTCCAAGCTCATTTTGAGTTTTCTCTGCCCTAGCCCTAGAATTAGTCATTTCTTCAAGGAAACTCTGGCTCTTGTGTTGCCTTCCTTTTATTTTTTTCCACAACCATTTTTAAGCATACAGATCAGTAATGTTAAGTACTATTATGGACTAAATGTTTGCGTCCCCCGAAAAATACATATATTTTGAAACCCTAACCTCCAATATGAGTGTTTTCCAAAATGGGGCCTTTAAACAAGTTATTAAAGTTAAATGAGGTCAAATTTGATCTGATAGGTTAGTGTTTTATAAGAAGACATACCAGGCTCAGGTTGTGTGGCTCAGGGGTGAGCGCTTACCTATCAAGTGTGAGGCCCTGGGTTCAATCCTCAGCACCACATAAAAATAAATAAATAAAATAAAGGTATTGTGTCCAACTACAACTAAAAAAATAAATATTAAAAAAAAGATATACCAAAGTTCACTATCCTGTGTACACAATGAGGAAAGGACATTTGAGAATATACCAAGAAGCCTGCAATTCAAGGGGGGAGCCCCTCACCAGACACTACCCCTGTTGACACATTGATCTTGGACTTAAAGTGTCAGAACTGTGAGAAAATAAATTTCTATTGCTTAAATCTGCTAGTATGTGGTATTTTGTTATGGCAGCCTTAGAAGGCTAATACAAGTAAGTTTCAAACATGCAACAGATCTGAACTTTTTGTCTTGCAAAGCTGAAACCTTTTTTTTTTTTTAGTATATTTTCTAGTAGTCAGTGGAGATATATATATAATGGTGCTGAGAATTGAATCAGGGCCTCACACGTGCTAGGCAAGTGCTCTACCACTGAGCCACAACACCAGGCCCTTTCCCTCCCCAAAGCTGAAACCTTATATGCATTGAATAACTTTCCTTTCTCCCTTCCTCCCAGTTCCTGTCAAACACTTTTGTTTATGTTCCCTTCCTTTTAAGGGCATCAAAATTTGTTCTTATAAGCAGCCAAATTACTGGTGGATCTTTTTGATACTGTCAAGCTTTTTTTGTTTGTTTGTAACTGCTGCTAAGAAATGCATGTCTGTTCTGGCTGTTTAGCCTTTGACTCTGAGGGAGGCCCTCTCCACTAGGGCTTGCATTGTTTTAACTTATATGAGCTGGATTCCCCACCACCACCACCACCACCACCACGTATTGAATCCAGAGCCTCACAAATTCCAGGTAAATGGTCTACCACTGAGACACATCTCCAACCCTCAGTCTTAGCCAGAGCGTGCAACTTAGCTCTTAGCCACGAACCTGTGGTTAGTTTTCATGCAGTCTCCTAGGACCCTCTCTCTCTGTGCAGCTCTCCCTTGTCAGTTTTCCTGCTCTACAAATTCCAGCCACTTAAGCAGCTTATAACTCTAATCTCTGCCCCTTTAGTTTAATGAGACTACTGTTCTGTTTAGGATTTGTTTTCCTGTCTGTGCCAGAAAGTGCCTCTATGCAGGAAACTATGATGATGCACTGTAGCACTTGCATTTGGGTTTCTCTTCTCTTGAGGATCACAATGCAGCCTCTTTGTGCTAGTGTGTATATTTGCATGTGTAATTTTTTGGTTGGACAGCAAGTTCAATACCACTCTGTGGTGACTAGAAGCAGAACTCTATTCATTTTTATCAATATGCTATCCTTGTTTCTCTTCTTCTTTTCTACTAACTTTATGCACTTTCATTTGGTGATCTTATCTATTCTTAAGAGTTTCAATTTCTGTTTTTCTTAAAAAAATTTTTTTAGGTGTAGTTGGACACAATACATTTATTTTTTATTTATTTATTTTTATGTGATGTTGAGTATGGCAAGCACTCTACCACTGAGCCACAACCCAAGCCCCCAATTCTGTTTTCTTACTTTGATTTTTTTTGTGTGTGTGTGTGTGTGGTGCTGGGATTGAACCCAGGGCCTTGTGCATGCGAGGCAAGCCCTCTACCAACTGAGCTATATGCCCAGCCCACTTTAATTTTTTAGTAAACTTTCATTACTAGAAATAAATTACTAACACTTTTGTATGTATTTGTTTAATTTGCTCTTCTTAATGTTTGTCTTTTCTTATAAAAATAAGACAACAGGGAGGAAAAAAATTAATGGAATTTCTGACAGTCTGAAGAATAGAGGTTAGAGCACACCTGGAAGAATGTTTAGGGGAAGACAGGAGTATGTCATATTCACAAAACATACCTGGGACATAGTTTTTTTTTCCCCCTGTAATTATAGGCACATTCAGCTAACAGTCCAATTCTCTGTCATTTATCACTACCCACACGGTACAAGAAATGGTGAAATCAGTCCTGTTTGGCATATATCTATTTTCTCAGAAGAAAACAGTAGAGGAAAAAATCTTAGAAAAATGCTAGGAACCACTCTCATTTTTATTCTAGGGTCCATAATAAAAATTGCTGAATATGAGAACCATTTTTGCTTGCTCTATAGAGTTAGGTGAGATTGAGAATCAATTTAATATGGATACAGTGAGCATCTAGAGAGTGTGGTGGAGCAAAAAAAAATTTTTTTACAATAGAATGTCCTATAGAATGTTAATTTCTATAGGAAGCCCCAGAATTTGAATCATTTCCTGAAAAATTACTTCTGTTTTGTCAAGTTTCCTGCTACCAGTTTAGTTACTAGGCGATTTCCTTACTGACAGGTCTTCTCATACTTCTATAATTTTAACTCTCTTAACTCAATGTGAAAGATATTAGGTGGAGATGACTGACAGTGATATTTATTCCATGTTAGAGTTGCCTAACACAGCACAAGCCGAGAATGACTACAGATCACAGCAAAAAGGTGAGTTAACCAAGTTAGCTTGGAAGCTGTTTGTAGTGACTCTAGACCATAGATTAATAAGAAGTAGAATAATTTTGGAGTAGAGGGTACAGAAAAATTGAGGATAATCTGAAGAAATACTTTGGGTTCAGTCTGAAGTCATGAATTGGAGTATGGAAATTTGGTATATGGTATGGAATATGTTAGTAGTTCTCAGATAAACTTTTTTTCTAGCCATTTACTTCTATTATCACATCTAATGCCTGGCTAGGACAGTGCATTATTTTTTTTTATTGCCTCTGAACTAAAGCAAGAACTGTATTGGGAAAAGTTTCTCTCTTTAATCATGTTTGGAGTAAACTTGGACCAGCTATTTAATTTCTAAACATGTTGTTTTTATATGAAATGAGGAAGAGACCAATAATTTTGCTAATTGGTAATGGTAAGATTTTGTCAGAAAAGAAACTAATTCACATTTGTAGGTGTTTTTCTCCCTCATTCTAGTATAGTACCAGAATGGTAATGAGGGATGAAAAGGTGAGAACACTACAGATAAGCAGTCCCTTTGATTCAGGGGATGTTGAGGGCAAACAAACAAACAAACAACGCCCCCCCCCCCCCCCCCCCCCCCCCCCCCCCCGCAAAAAAAAAAAACCTTTATGTAGAATCCTGACAGAACACTATCTGAGACAGACAGATAAAAGCAGATAAGTTCCAGAAGAATATATTCTTTAGTGTAGTTCTTTAAGCTTTCTTGTTGCTACATAGTCTTATTGATAATGATTTTTAATGTTGTCTGTCAAAAGCATTGCCAAGGGCTGGGGATGTGGCTCAAGCCGTAGCGTGCTCGCCTGGCATGCACAGGGTGCTGGGTTCAATCCTCAACACCACATAAAAATAAAATAAAGATGTTGTGTCCACCGAAAACTAAAAAAATAACTATTAAAAAATCTCTCTCTCTCTCTTAAAAAAAAAAAAAAAGCACTTCCAAAATATGCTAAATCATTCCCATATACTTGGGCAATTAGATTTATTTTTATTGCTATAATTATATAGCACATTTTATTTGTATATTCTTTTCCTTCTTTGGGATTATATCTGTGCTAATTTCTAAGGACTAGAAATATTAATATACAACTTGAAGTATAAGTTCAATTTATCTTATAACTGGTGATAAATTGGAACTTAATAGTTGGAACAAGTATAATATAATATGTAATTAATATAAATTAAGAAATCTATTTTACTTTCTCAAATTGGATGGTGTTGTACAACAAAATATAATTATGTTTTGATAAAATTTTATCATTTAACATAAGATCTAAAATGAATGTTTATTTCATTAAATGTTCTTGTATGGTTCAAATGTATTTTAAAATAAATTTTTTTTAGTTGTAGATGAACCTTTATTTTATTTATATACGGTGCTGAGAATTGAATCCAGTGCCTCACACATACTAGGCAAGTGCTCTACCACTAATCCACAACCCCAGTCCTACAAATGTATTTTTTTATGTCGCTAGAAATCTAGTGTTTCTGGATTCATCAGTCAAAATATTTGTCATGTGGAATTCTCTCTTTCTAAAGGCATCTCTCTCTGTGAATTTCTTTTAAGCAATTCAGAACAGTTCATATATACGCATATATACAGAATAATTTATCTAAAATTTAAACAGAAAAATGAGGTACAAATGGGCAAAATTGATTTCCTAATTAAAGGTTTATCAAATAAAGGAGTCAAAACTAGAAGTTGAATGTCTTAAGTTTACATAATTTCACTCTTTACATGTAATACCTACAGTATCTGACTATGAGACACCTATGATTTTGAAATAAAAAGTTTTGGGGAAAATACTTCCACTTTTCAAACTGAAAGATCATTCTTAGATATAAGTTGTATGCAGCATAGTTAATATGAAGTAATGTTTCATCTTTGAGCATTCTTTTTTTCATCTTTAGACATTCTGTCAACCTAAACTCACTGTGCTTCCAATAATGGGAGTTTACAAAGCAAAAGGAATTTTTTCATTCTCTTCTGAGATGCAAGTTATTTTATTTTTGTTTAAATTTTGTTTATTTAAAGATGGAGTAGCTAATACATTCACATGGTTCAAAATTCAGAAGGTACAAAAGAAAATAAGGTAAAAAGTCTCTGGCCTATCTCTGTCCCTCCCCATTTGTCTTCTCCAGAGGCAAACAACATATCAGATTCTTGCACAAATCTTAGTACATCCTGTTTGGGGAATGATTCTTTGTTGTTGTTTTTTTGTTTGTTTGTTTGTTTTTGAGACAGGGTTTCAATATGTTGCCCAGGCTGGTCTCAAATTTGTGATCCTCCTGACATAGCCTCCAGAATAGCTGGGATTAAAGCATGTGCCACAGCTCCTGGCTTAGAATTCTTTCCCATAACTATATATTTTAAGAATCACTCCTTATCAGCAACAAATAAACAAAACACTCCAAATATTCTGTTGTTAGAAGCTGCAAACACACTTTAGGGGAATATCAAAATATATATGGCCTTTTTTAATATTAATCTTTTAGTTTTAAGTGGACACAATATTTTTATTTTATTTTTTATGTAGTGCTGAGGATAGAACCCAATGCTTCATGCATGCTAGGTGAACACTCTACCACTGAGCTGCAACCCCAGCCCTATATTGGTCTTTTATTGATTGGCATTTAGGTTGTATTAAATTTTTTCATCCCACAAAGATAACTGCCAGGAATAGCCTTGTAAATATGACATTTTGCACATGTTTACGTAGCTATAGAAAAATTTTCTTAAAGAGAAATTGCTGGGCTGAAGGGTAAATACCTTTGCAGTTTTGGTAAATATTGCCAAATTTTCCTTCAACCTCTAAAGAGGTTATACCTACTTGTATTCTCACTACCAAAGTATAAGAACAAGTAAGCCACAATTTCAAAGGAAAAAAAGTTTTCTTTAACTTCGTAAAAAAGTATCTTTCTTGAAATAGGTGTTTGTGGTACTTTAGACGTTAAAGCAAGTCCCTGAGAGATTCAGGAAAGAAATCTTTTTTTTTTTAATTGGTACATTATATTTGCTCATAATAGTTGGATTTGTTGTTTTATATTCATACATGCACACAATAAAGAAATATAATTTGGTTATATCATTCCCCCAACCCCACCCTTCTTTTCCTTTTTCCTTTCTAGCTTCTACATATGAGAGAAAATATATGACCCTTGACTTTCTGAGTTTGGTTTATTCAGAAAAGAAATCTTCATGGCCTGTGTCTTAGTTCCCACTAGACCCAGTTGCTTCAAGATCCCATATACAATTCCTTTATCTTTCTTCTGAGGATTTTGTGTTGGATTCTGTTTTTGTAGCTTCTTCCAGGCCTTCTCTTGCTTGCCTTGTGGCAATAGCTCTGGGGCTTCTGAATGCAATTCTTATGAGTTTACTGCTATACCAATGGATTCAGTGCCAGGGTAAGTGCTAATTTAAGGTAAAATTAATCTTTCATTTTATCCATTTTACATTATAAAATTGGTATAACATTTGAAAAATGAAAAATAATTCAAATAAAATAAGTTGCCAACTGTATACAACTACTTCCTAAGTGTAGCCTCCTCATTTTGGACTATATGCATTTATATGAGTGTTTATTCTCTTAAAATATTGCAAACAAGTCTTTTAAAAATCTCTCCAATCCTCCCCACCCCAAAACAAAGCTTGGAATAGTTTTGACCATAGAATACTTATAATGTTGTATATTGTTTTTTGGTTTTCCATATTGTGTCATAATAGTTTCCTACTTATTACCACATTTATCATATTTAAATTATAGTATTTATGGTGTTTAACCACTCACATAAGCATTTGGTTGCCTTCATATTTTCTAAAACTAGTTTTCCAAGACTTAGTTCTTTAAGGTCCTTAAATCTGATGATTCAGAGGACTGAGTTTATTTTTTCACAGTCAGGTTCCTAACTTAGGTTTATGTAATGGGGGATAATTAATGACAGATTACATAGAACTTATTCATTAGGATTCTAAGGGTTCAGCCTCAGGACTCTACCTCACACCAAGTCCTACTTTGACAAAACAAATGGAGAATTTTTGATACAAAGTGGGTCATGATTGTACGGAAAAAGCACAGATCTATAAAGTGCCAATTTAATAGTTTGATGTGCTGAACTCTCTATTGGTCCCATGTCAGGCCTTCCCATAGAGAGTTACCTAATCTTCATAGGAGAAGGGCTACCTACTCTACTCTTAAACTCTTAAATCTGGAGTAGATATGTGAGTTATTCTGCTATTATTATTATTATGCTAGGGATCAAATCTAGAGCCTTGCAAGCACTCTACCACTGAGCTACATCCACAGTCGTCTGTTCTGCAATCATATATCTACACATATGCTTATGTGATATAATGACACATGCTTGCTCATTGTAGAATTGTGCTTATATGATGAGTTTTTTCAAATATGTTTCATGGAAATAGAAAATCAATAAAATTATGAAATCTTGTTTGAGATTATCTTGAAATCTTATTCACTTCTCATATTTTTTACACTTTTAAATTGGTACATTTTAGTTGTACATAATGAGGACTTGTTACATGAACACGATATAATAATATGACTTGGCCAATATCACTCTCCCTCTTATTTTTTTTAATATATTTTTTAGTTGTTTATGTACCTTTATTTTTTATTTATTTATATGTGGTGCTGAGATTCAAACCCAGTGCCTCACACATGCTAGGCAAGCTCCCTACCACTGGGCCACAACCTCAGCCCTCCCTCTTATTTTTAAAAGAACTATAATCTAATCATTTTAAAGGAATGAGGATTGTCTATTTAAAAGAACTCAGGAAAATTCTATGCTTTTCACTTTAGCATTAGATATTAGATATGTAACATTAGATATGTTTCTCTGTTAGAATTTCTTTCTTTCTTTTTTTGTAGTACTAGGGATTAAACCAAGGATCTGGCATAAGCTAGGTAAGTGCTCTACCACTGAGCAACATCCCAGCTCTTTTTATTTTTATTCTGAGATAGGGTTTTGTTAAATTGCCAGGTTGGTTTTGAACTTGTGATTTTCCTGCCTCTGCCTACTGAGTAGGTGGGATTGCAGGTGTGCACTGTTGCACCCAACAGAAAAAAAGTTTAATTACCTACAGTAAATCAGTTGTGCAGAAGTCTAAGTATTTTGTTCAGTTTCCAATGGTGACAGTCATTTTTTTTTTTGGTATCGGGGATTGAACTCAGGGGCACTCAACCACTGAGCCACATTCCCAGCCCTATTTTGTATTTTATTTTGAGACAGGGTTTCACTGAGTTGCTTAGCACCTCACTTTTACTGAGGCTGGCTTTAAACTTGCGATCCTCCTTACTCAGCCTCCTGAGCCACTGGGATTATAGGTGTGCACCACCGTGCCCAGCTGACAATCTTTAATAATCAACCTTTCATTCTAGTTGTTTGTTCTTTCTAGTTTCTTTCCTTTTTTTAATACACCATATGGGATATCATGTTGACGTTGGATATCCTGAATGATTCTGCCTGATTTAAGAATGTACATTATGAAGTTATACAATGTATGTGTCAAACATAAACAGTAAACAGATATGTATCATGCAAATGCAGATTTATTTTATCTGGTAAATATATATCACATGTGCATAGAGGTCTCTGGTGTGAATAATATGCTCTCCACAGTCCCAGGCATGTGTACTACTTTTTCTTTTCTGCTCTTCACAGGCACATCCTTGCCTGGTGAAGAGAAGGCTAGTGGTGTGAAGCATTGTGTTTGAGGCCACACATTATTACGCATTTCTCTAAACCTCAATCTGAAGGTGGTGGGACAAGGAAGACACTGAGAATGCCATATTTCCTTTTATCGTCCTTTTCATTTCCAAATCTATTTGTTCCATAAAGATATGAACCAGGTCTTCTTCCTTTCTAGGGTCCAACTGCTTTACTTGTGCCAGCTGTCCTAGCTGCCCAGATCTCTGGATGAGACATGGTAACCATTGTTATTATTTTTCAATGAAGAAAATGGACTGGAATTCTAGTCTGCACTTCTGTTTAGCTGAAGACTCAGATCTCCTGATGATAACGGACAACAAGGAAATGGTAAATACAAACATTTAGAAGATGTAGTTTTTATTTTTTAATGATTGCTGTTCAAATGTGCCAGGTATCTTCTTTAAGCAGCAAAAGGAGCCTGTGATCTTGGGGGAGGCTGTATTCTTCCCTTTCCCTCTCCTCTTCTTGTTTTCTCCGGCTCCACTCTTGCCTTTTCCCCTCTCCTTCCCTACTCCTTAACTACTATCTGACCTAATTACCCTCAGATATAGCAACCAGGTGCTGTGTAGGCATGTATGTATATGTGTGTGAGTGTTGGAGGTGACAGGATTGGGAGTATTACAGAGAGGAAATAGAATTGAAGTGCAGGTCTAATTAAAACAAGCATCTGGGCCTGTAGGTTCAGTGATCTCGTGTTTGAGGTGGGTAGATCATTTGAGCCTTGGAATTTGAGTACAACTAGGCAACATAGTGAGACCCTGTCTCAAAAAGAAAAAGGAAAACACACACACACACTCACACACACAAAAAAAAAAAAGAAAGAAAGAATAAAGTAAAAGAAAGAAAAAAGGAAAAGAAAAAAAAAAGGAGAAAAAGATCTGGGCATGGTAGTGCTTGCCTGTAATCCCAGTGGCTCTGGTGGCTGAGGCAGGAGGATGGTAGAGTTCAAAGCCAGACTCAGAAACTTAGTGAGGCCCTAAGCAATTTAGCAAGATCCCGTCTCAAAATAAAAATAAAAAGGGCTGGGGCTGGTGCTGAGTGGTTAGCACCCCTGAGTTCAATCCGTGGTACAAAAAAAACCAAACAAACAAACAAAAAAAAAAAAACAAAGAAACATAAGATCTAAAAACAAGAAGGTAGCAAGTTCCTATACAAAAGCCAGTGAATTTGGGAAGGAGTGGAAGAAGAAGAAAGATCCTAGAGGTAAAAAGATCATGGCAGGGGCTTAAATGTCTTCTTTTAAAATATTTTTTCATTCATTGAAATTCAGTAAGTTTCAGACTGGGAAACAATGTCCAAAAAGTTGGATGGAAGAAAGGAAACTGTGTGTGTGTGTATGTGTGTGTGTCAGTGTGTGCACACGTGTGTGTGCATGTATGATCATGAACATCTTGCAGAACTCAGCAGTTGGGATTCCATTTCCTATAGTCCTCTCAAATCCTTCATATCCACCTAACATCTGTTAGTCCTATGGCATCTGAAGGCAATACAAGGAATTCATGTTCCAGGCACAAAAATCAATCAACTTCAATCCCAATATGAAGAAAATAAGAAATCCTAGCTTGATTTTTAGGATTTAGAAATCCTAGTGAGATTTTTTGATTTTTCATGCTGACTTTTATTTGTTTTGATAGTCATGTTTTCTTTTTTTGAGTAGAATCATGTCACAGAGAACACTTTATTACGAATTAAACTGTATTAACATCCCTTGGAGAAATCCAGAGAGGCAATTTCTCTATAGCACTTAAGTAGAACATATAGTCCCTAATTTTTATAACTTCCTATTTTAAGAAAAGATTAAAGAATTTTGATTCTTATTTTCAAATAGATAAAAATTTCTATGAAAGGAATACTCCATGATTTGAAATTCTTGATAGAATTTAAACTTCAAATCATTCCACCTCTGCGATCGATGTTTCCTTTATGTCTTCCCTGATCTAAGGCAGAATGCATTGGGCTCTATTAATTAGATGTGAAATCTTTGTTTTATGGTTTCTGATAATAATAGCCTGGTTTTCTGGACCTCATGGCAGCACTCCTACTCTCATTCTAATGTAGCTGCATCTGAGGACCTGAGCTGACTGCAGTCAATAGCAGAAGTGAGCAACGAGCTTGAAACATTTGCCCAACATTGCAAATACCAATAAACAGGAGTACTGAGTCATAATGAAACACATTGCCACAGAAAATTGTGATATGACAGCTACTTAAATTATACAGTGTGACAATGAGAGATGAGGAGGGAAAAGAATAGGGTACAGAATATCTGGGAGTTGGAGATACTTCTGTTTCTCTGAGGTATGCAGAGGAAGAAAGGGACCTACAGGGATTTTGTCCTTCCTTTCTTTCCTTACATTCCTTGCATCTGTGTCCACTGTTGGGTAAAGTGAACAGAGTTAAATTGGCTGCATTTTCAAGATGAGACTATTTTCTCTTAAGACCCTTTGGTTCAAGTCAGTATTGGAAAGGGTAAATATCTCCGTTAGATTTAATATCCATAGATAAGTTTTACTTTTGACATTCCTGAGGATTCTTGCTTGATTCTCTGGCTTCTTTTTCTCCAGCTTTTGTCATATTCTGTAGAACCAAATTTACATATCCAATTTTCAGAGTCTCTTGTCCTAGCATTGTTATTCTTTTGATCTTAAGGCAAGGTTTATATACTATTTTAGGATATGTGTGATGTTCCTAGTATTATGCTTGGGTCTGAACAGTTACCAAAAGAACATATTTTTTTTTTTTTAAAAAAAGATGTGTATCTGGGCTGGTTAAGACAGAAGTTTTTCAAACTGGCATTCCATTGGTGAATACCGCTAGAGAATGACGTGCTATATACTGGAGGCTAAATGCCTGTTAAGAAAACTCTTTTTACACTTTTAAGTAATATGTTCAATGTTGTTCTTCTTCAGCCTCCAGACACCTGTGAAATACCTCTAAAGTTAAAGCAATAGATCCAATCAATTTTAAATTTTATGAGTACTCTGTATTGTACTTTTTTTCAAGTCAATTACATTCATTACCTCAAATTGTTTACAAAAAAAAGTGTCTGAAGAAAACTTTAGTGATGATATTAGAAAATATGAGACTGTTTTAAAACACATGGGTTTCTACTGTTTTGGAACATCCTGCATTTTATGTTCTGCTTTTATCACATAACATTATTTCTTCTTTTTTAAAATTTGTTTTAAGTAGTCATAATGACATTATCTCATTCCTATTTTTTTCTAACACTAAATTATTTCAGGCAATTTTTAAAAATTATGAAATATTTCTTAAAAAAATTATTTTTAATAATTCTGCATTACTCTGCTTTGCTTAAATATTTTCACATTAGACAAAATTCTGTCTATGCCCAATTATTATGATCTATGAGCATATTTATATAAATTATTTTTATTGGGGTCATTTATATTATTTTATATTATAATCCCTAAAGTTAAGTTGGTTAATAAAAAATGACTAATTTAATAGCTTTGGTATGTTATCAGTTATTCTTGATAGTTGAATAATATAGATGCTTTATATAAACCATGTTAATTTTGTCAGTTTAAGGAGTTTGTTTTGTGCCTTAATAGTATTTTAATTTCAATTTAAAATATTACCTACAAAAAATGTGTGTCTGTGTGTGTGTGTGTCTGTGTGTATAAGGTAAAAATATCAACCTACAAAAAAATGAAAGAAAAGAAAAAATGAATCTGATTTAATTTGCTTGAGTCCTGTCTTTACCTCGCTTGTTACTTCTAGTTCTTGCAAGTTTTTTTCTACAATAAAAATGAATATTACTAAAGTGATGCAGCTCTTAAGTGCTCTAGTTCATACACTCTCTGGGGGATAATATTTCTGAGTTAACACCTTTATATCTTCATGCTTTTTTTTTTTGCCACACATATGCATACACGCATACACGCACCCACACACAAATTTGCTGAGTACATAGAAAAGCAATTGCACTCTGGGTTGAAGGCTCTTCCAAATAGGAAGATTTTCAAGTGAAAGTGATACAGTAAAAATTTTCAATATATAGCCTCAGCAGTAGGAAGTAGTAAAAAGAAGTGCTCAAGTGGCTCAGAATTATATGGGTACTGAAAATGACATAGTGCAGGAATGGAGTTTGTAAGTGGGCATCAATTAATCCTAGCTTTTCAGATGCTAATTGAAAAATCTGAGAAAAGCTATATCCATTTCTGTGTTTTATTTGTTGCCATTCCCCCTCTGTCTGGGAAGGTCTCATTTGAGTTGAGACTGAGACCTGAATGACAGCCATATGAGAACCTAGGGGAAGGTATTGCAGACAGAGGGAAAAGCTATGCAAAGACCCTAGAGGAAGAATGCATTTGGCATGTTAAAGGAGCAGAAAGAAAGTGTATGGGGCTGGAACTTAGTGAGTAAATAGTTGTTAAGGGCCAGACTACGCAAGACTGTATACATAGTGAAAATTTTAGATTTTTAGGACCAAAACCTAAAGAAGAGAAAATAGAAATTATTTAGACATGTGAAATACCACAAAAGCTTCTTGTACTTCCTATAGCATCTTTTCTGGGAGTGCAAAGAGGTTTCATGCCTTTCCTGACTTTATAATAGGAAGTCTTTATTTTCTGATAAAAAGTCCAATTAGTTAAAGGAAAATGGCTCAGTGTAGCCCATGAATCCTTATTGTTCAGCAATCATTTTCCAGGAGTAGAATAAAAATGACATAAAAATGGGATGTCTGCTGGTATCATAATTACTACATTGAGGTGGAATTTTACTGCTTTCTTGGTTTCTGAATAAAAAGCACTGTTTCCTCCTAAAGAAATTATCAACTAATTCAATTCATATTCGAGTGATTAAGCTGTTGTTAGAAAATATTTAAAGTGTAATCATTCATTATGTTAACAGCAATTCTTACACCAAAATTAATCTTGAATTTATCCTTTATGTATAGAGGTAATTCCCATAGGATATAAACTTTAAAAACTGTAAAACCATACAGAGTAAAGCATCTTTTATCTGTTCCTTTGGGGAGCATGACACATATAAGTGGTGTAACCAATTTAAATTTGCCTTAGTCTTGTTCTCTTGAGAATGTTTTTTTCTCGTCATATATAAGATTGATGAGGATTTGGAAAATGAGCTTGGTGAGAAAACACAAGTGTATTGCTATAGGATCAATCATAAGTTATGCATTCAGTGATGAGAAAGAGGACTGTGTCTGCAACAATGTTTGGTTTCTTTCTTTTCAGTACCTATCAGGTGTTCCATCTAATCAAGGAGGAAGTTGCAATGAAAGGTAGAGATGTAGCATTATCTTATCTCTCACATCAGAATATAATATAGACATAAAGGTCAATTGTAGGAAGCTGCTCCTCCTTGCAATCAATAGATCTCTAGAATTAGAAATTAAAAGAGGGATGAGTTATTTAGGGTGGATGCTTGTTGTAGTCAGGTTGGGCTGGTAAAAAAAAAATCCCTTAGCATGAGTGGCTTGAACAACAGGCATTTATTTATCTCTCACAATTCTGGAGGCTGGGAAGTCCAAGATCAAGGTACTTGTAAATTTAGTTCCTGATGGGTGCCACTTCCATTTTACAGAGGGCTCCCTTTTTGTTGTGTCTTCATTTGGTGCAAAGAGAGCTTAGGTCTCTTATTTTAAGGGCACATAAGCCACCGGAGCTCTACCTTCATCACTTCACGTAAACCTAATTACCTCTTAAAGATTCCCCAAGCCTTGCCATTGAGGGCTGGGGCTTAAACATATGGATTTTGTGGAAGGTGGACCAAAACTTTCAGTCCTCCACAGCGGTAATAAGGGAGGTCTGAGGAATAATTATTCACCATGACAACAGAACCTCTTAAATTTGCTGCATCTTTCTCATCTTTCCTCATCATCTTCAATCTCCCCTTTAGAGCTTGCTTAAAGATTTCATCCGTGAGAATTTTCACTGGATTGGTCTGAGGAATAATTCTGGCTGGAGGTGGGAAGATGGATCAGCTTTAAACTTGTCAAGGTAAAGGGCTTCAAAGGAGTGAAACAAAATAACAAGGAGGAGGAAGCTGAGGGAAAGAAAAAAATGACATGACTCAGGGCTTGATAAATAGATGAAGGATAGCAGGTATAGAGGAGAGGAAAGGCTGTAAGGAGAAGAAAATAGGGGCCAAAAAAGGGAATGAAGAGTGGGTGGACAGCGGGAAAGGGGGAAAAAAGGGTGATTTTAATTTTTTTAGTTGTAGTTGGACACAATACCTTTATTTTATTTATTTGTTTTATGTGGTGCTGAGGATCAAACCCAGGTTCTTCCATGTGATAGGTGAGCCACAACTCCCGGCTCCCAAAAGTGATATTTTAGAGGGAGGCTAATGAAAAATTTTAAAAATATTTATTTTTATGTGGTGCTGAGGATTGAACCCAGGACCTCGAATGTGCTAGACAGGCATTCTACTGCTGAGCCACAACCCCAGCCCTGAAAAATTTTTATTCTTCTATTGTTTCGGGAGTTGAGTGAGAAAGAATTTGCTCAATTTTTATCCTTTCGTGCTTTTCAACTCCCTTACTGTGCATGTTGCCACAAGTGATGGACTTTTCTGAATTCTTACAGGATTATTTCTAATAGCTGGATACAGACGTGTGGTGCCATCAATGAAGATGGTCTTCAAGCTTCCAGCTGTGAAGTTCCTTTGCAGTACATCTGTAAGAAGGTCAGACGTTGATGCAAGGCAGAACTGTACTGAATCTCAGATCTGTCATGTATATTTGAAAAGAGGGGAGTGGCCATTGGGCTTCTGGGCCAGCCATGGAATATATTTAGTGAATGCAAAGCCTACTAACATAATGGTATTAGATGAAAGACAAATGTGGCCTCTAGAGATTGATACTGTACTGCTGGTTTCTCTTTGAGAAATTTAAGTATTATGTTAATAATAATACTTAAAGATCATATTTAGGCAAATTTATAAAATAGATAAAAGTTTGCTTTTAGTAGTTTCACGCTGTCTGCTCATGCTGGTTCCCATATTCCCCACCTCTACCATCTTTGTCAAAGCTATACCTAGTCTTCTATCAAAGGCTGAATGAATCAAGAAATGTTGTATACATACATAGTGGAAAATTATTCAGCCATTAACAGAATGAAATCCTATCATTTGTAGTAACATGGATGAGCCTGGAGGATTTTATGTTAAGAGAAATAAATCAGACACAGAAAGACAAATACCTTATGTTCTCATGTGTGAAAACTAAAAAAGGTTGATCTCATATTTGTAGAAAGTAGAATAGTGTTCCAGAGGCTGTGAAGGGAGGAGGGTGGTAGAGTTTAGTTAACCATTAGATTGAGGAGTAATTTCTAGCGTTCCATAAAACAGTAGGTTGACTAGGTTAATAATAATTTATTGTGGATTTCAAAACAGCCAGAAGAGAGGACTTTGAATGTTTCTATGTGTTTGATATGATGGCTATGTTTATTAGCCTGAATTGATCATTATACATTTTATGTGTGAATTGAAATATCACACTCTACCCTACAAATATGTATGGTTAATATGTGTCAATTAAAAATAAAAACCAAAGAAGACATAAACTTTTCTGTGTTTTATTTATTATGAACTGATCTGAAGAAATCTCTGTAAATATGTATTATTGCTCATGTCCTAGAGAGGTTTTATGTTTTGATGGGTTACTATGTTAACTTCTTGAGCATATCTTTTTTGTCTTTACGCTGACCCTTTGCAGATAAAATTATATTCTAAAGAATATTGCCAACTGTGAGAAAATACACAGTGGAAAGTGGGTGAGAAGCTTTGTGTTTCTCAGCTCTTCACACTTACATAAAGACTGAGTCTGGTTTTTCTGAGCATTCATAGATGTGGTTGAATAACCCAAGGTGTGACTATCTTTTCTATGCAGCTGATATGTGATTTGTGTATTGATTTCATGACAGTTGTTAATCTAATAAGGCATTTTCATAGATGAAAGTTTACAGAAGCAGTTTATATGGTTGGGTTTCCAAATTTTTTAGGCACTAATGCAGCAAAAATGAGAAAACTTCATTATTTCTCCATAGAGGAGTCTGGACATACATAAGGAGAAAAGGTGCTGTTTAAAGATACAAGAGACATTACTTAAATAGGCCAAAATTCTGTGATGTTTTTACCAGATTGTCATTTGTTTTGTTTCTTTCATCATTCATACTTTTTGATAAAAATATTTTTTAATTATAGATGGACACAATATCTTTATTTTTGTTTATTTATTTTTATGTGATGCTGAGGATTAAACACAGGGCCTCATGCATGTGAGGCAGGCACTCTACCACTGAGCTATAACTCCAGCCCCTTATACTTTTTTTTTTCTACCACTGCATCTCAAACACCTAAGATAGTGCTTACATTCTGTGAATATTAAATAAATACATGGATGAATAAAATAAATAAACTTAAAAATATCCTAGCTGTTTTTGTTAACCCATCAGTTAGAAGTATTAAAGGCAAGAAAAACAGGATATCCTAATCCTCTCTTAACTACCCATTAGCTAGGTGAGTAGCTGACTCTAAAAAGGCAAAGGGTAAGATTAATCTGGATATCATGCTCACAGAAAGAAGTAGTAGAAACAAGCTGCTTATAACCTCTTAACTTTAGGTTTTGGAGCAAGGGTGTCCCTGATTTATGGATATGATTGTAATGACATCAACTTTGTTAAGGATGTAATGATAGTGATTTCATTTGGGCCACTGCTTGGTTGCCATAGGCTGCACAGTTTCATTCATTTAAATGAATGAAGGGGCATTGTTAAGCCTTTAGATTCTCACCTGAGCAAGCAGGATATATGTGCTTTCCTTTGTAAGGTAAGCTCAGACTTCTTGTAAGCTTTTCTTAGCTGTTGTGAGGATTAGGTTGTATTCATCACTGCTTAGTCTTTATTAAGGATGTTACAATAGAATTAACAGTTGTTTATTTATTCCTTAGACTTATTACTTAGGAGCTAAGTTTAGTTATTGACTCAGCTCCTTTACTTTGCCTGGTGTAATAAAGTTTGGTAAAAACTAGCAACTGAATATTTTCCCTCAGGATCTAAATTTCACAGTTGATTCCTTTGATGAACATCATACAATAAACATATCTAGAATGTGCAATATTTAGAATAAAACATTATTAAGACAGTAACACAGCAGTAACAAAATGGGAATGAAGAAAATCCAGAGAGGGAAAAAACCTCTATGGAGGCTACTCATATATCTAAGGCTCAGTAGGGAAAGATTAGATAATCCTTTTAATATAGCAAGAACCTAAGCTCTTGTCCTTTTCATCTTTTGTTATTTTATTTTACTTTAATAAATGTTTTTTGGACCTTGGGTTCAGCCACTAGAGTTAATCAATCAAACTCCTCATTTTGTGAAGTCAGCTTCTTTCCTAATCCATATATGTGTCTCTCAGGGTCTGTTTATCTTTCCGCTTCTTTCTGTATCCCCACATCCATTCACCTTTCCTGCAAAGGAGCACACTTTGCTGTTAGATTCCTTAAGCGTGCTTGTTTCCTTTTGAAACAGTTTTCATCTTCATTTGTTTCATATGTAATTAAATGATTTTAAATATATCTCACTGTTTTCTTTTTTCACCAGTGTTAAGTTTTTGAAATCTATCCATGTTGCTCTATGTGCTTGTAATTCATCCTTTTATCTGCTGTGTAGTATGTCCATTTGATGTATCCATTCTCTCAATGACAGACATTCAGTTTGCCTTTGTTTCTCTATTTCCAAAAATGCAGGAATGAATATCCTCTACATATTCCTACTCCCAACTTTTCCTCCACCTCAAGCAGTGGTCCTACTCTGTTATTTAGATAACAAACTAGAGAGTTTACTGATTGATTCTTTCCTTTCTTCCTTTCCTTCCCACTCTGTTCATTCCTTTATCATTTTTCTCTCCCTTTCCCCTCTCCCTCCCTCTCCATCCTCCCTCCCTTCCTTCTCTTTCTCTTTCTCTTTCTCTTCTCTTCCCTCCCTCCCTCTCCCGCCCCTTTTTCTTTCTGTCCTTCCCCTCCCTCCTTTCTTTCTTCCTTCTTTTTCTTTCCCAGGAAGCCTGTTGCACTGAGCTACAAACCCACCATTAAAAAAAAAAAGATAATTTGGAAACAGAGTCTCACTAAGTTGTTCAGGCTGGCCTCAAACTTGTGATCCTCCTCCATCAGCCTCCGAGTTGCTGGGAATGACAGGAGTGCACCACAGTGCCAGACTCTTTCTCTTTTTTAAAATTCACTGTATCAGCAAATTTTCTTGTGTATACCATGAAAGTACATTTTAATTTTACCACTTTTCTCCATCTCCGCTTTTAACTCTAGTCCAAACCACTGTGTGGTTCACCTGGATTACAGTGACAGTTTCATAATCACTCCCACCTGTAAACACACACACACACACACACACACATACAAACCCCAAAACAGTTCTGTTGAGGTACATTTGACATACAATTAAGTGGAACATTTTATTATATATAATTTATTTTCTATACAATTTTATTAATTTTAATATATATCTCTCCGTGAAATCATCAACACAATCAAGATAGTGAATGTGTCAATTACTCACAATGGGTTCCTTGTGATGTTTTGTATTTCTTTTCTTTCTCCTTCTGTCCCCTAGTTCTTCCATTTTCCTAGGAAATTCCCATTCTAATTTCTGTCACTATATTTGAAATTGTATATTCTGAAGTTTTATAGTATGTAGAGAAACATTCACTATGTACTCATTTTTTTTTTTACAAATTTTATGATTCATCCTTGTATTTATCAATATTTTAGATTTTTATTACTAATAATCTATTGTATGGATTTATCATATTAACTGTTCAATTATTTATGAAAATTTAGGTTGTTTCTACTAAATAATTGAATTAACTGTTCAATTATTTATGAAAATTTAGTTGTGTCTACTAAAACAGTTTTATAGCTATTGTGAACATTTGGGTACAAGTCTTTGTATGGACATAGACCTTGTTTTCTCTTTGGCAAATAACCTAAGAGGTAGGATAACTGGATTAAATATAGGTGTACATTTTATTCTATTTTTTCTTTATAAGTTGATATTATTTAAAAATGACTGATCATAATTGTATACACTTATGGAGTACAATATTTTTATATTATTAAGCTTGTTTTTAATGCAGATCTTATCTTGACATTAAATGCAAATGTCCTGACAGCCAACTGTTTCAATAATCCATATCACATTGGCTTTCCTTCAGTTTCTCAAGTACATTTTGCTCCTTCTCACCACAGGGCCTTTGCATCTTCCATTTTCACTGGACATTTTTTTTAGTCTGCTACGTGATTTAGACATTCATCTTTCAGTGGACAATAAAAACAAACTGCCAGTTCCTCCAAGGCAGCCTTTCTTGGGCTACAGTTGTATGCTCCCTGAACTTTGCTTTTCACACACTGTCACTTACATTTCCACAAATTATCTGCACTCTGATAATTTCCTGTCTTACTCTTGCCCACTGTACGTTAGGACTGCATGCTCAGTTAGGACAAGTCTGTGTGGCTACCCCCAGTGGTTAGCAGCCGAGTGTCTGGTATACAAAAGGCACTCAGTTTTTGCAGAGGAACCAAGGAAGGAGAGGGCAGACTTACTATGGCATTGTTAAACATCTTCAGAAGGATAGCAGAAGCTGTAGGGGCTGGCGATGGTGGGCGGGGAGCAAT